TAACTATATTTATTCTTTCTATCCATGAGCATGGGATGTTTTTCCATTTCTTTGTGTCTTCTTCAATTTCCTTCATAAGTTTTCTATAGTTTTCATCATACAGGTCTCTTGTATCCTTGGTTAGGTTTATTCCTAGGTATTTTATGGTTTTTTGTACAATTGTGAATGGGATCAGCTTCTTGATTTCTCTTTCTGTTGCTTCATTGTTGGTGTATAAAAATGCAACCGATTTCTGTACGTTGATTTTGTACCCTGCAACTTGGCTGAATTCTTGGATCAGTTCTAGTAGGCTTCTGGTGGAGTCTGTCGGGTTTTCTATGTAGAGTATCATGTCGTCTGCGAAAAGTGAAAGTTTGACTTCTTCTTTGCCAGTTCTCATGCCTTTGATTTCCTTTTGTTGTCTGATGGCTGATGCTAGGACTTCCAGCAGTATGTTAAAGAACAGTGGTGAGAGTGGACATTCCTGTCGTGTTCCTGATCTCAGGGGGAAAGCTCTCAGTTTTTCCCCGTTGAGGATGATGTTAGCTGAGGGCTTCTCATAGATGGCTTTTATGATGTTTAAGTAAGTTCCTTCTATCCCAACATTCTCGAGGGTCTTTATTAAGAAGGGATGCTGTATTTTGTCAAATGCTTTTTCTGCATCTATCGACAGGATCATATGGTTTTTATCTTTTCTTTTGTTGATGTGATGGATCACATTGATTGATTTGCCAATGTTGAACCAGCCTTGTAACCCAGGAATGAATCCCACTTGATCTTGGTGGATAATTCTTTTTATGTGCTGTTGGATTCGATTTGCAAGTATCTTGTTGAGGATTTTTGTATCCATATTCATCAAGGATATCAGCCTGTAGTTCTCTTTTTTAGCTGGATCTCTGTCTGGCTTGGGAATCAGAGTGATGCTGGCTTCATAAAATGAGTCTGGAAGTTTTCCTTGGCTTTCTATTTTTTGGAATAGCTTGAGAAGAATTGGGATTAATTCTGTTTTAAACATCTGGCCGAATTATCCAGGGAAGCCATCAGATCCAGGGCTCTTATTTGTTGGGAGATTTTTGATCACTGATTCAATTTCTTCACTAGTTATGGGTCTGTTCAGATGTTCTATCTCTTCCCATGTGCGTTTTGGTAGTGGGTGTGTGTTTAAGAATTTGTCCATTTCTTCTAAGTTGTCCAAATTGTTGGCATATAATTTTTCATAGTATTCCCTGATAATTGCTTGTATTTCTGAGGTGTTGGTTGTAATAAGTCCATTTTGATTCATGATTTTGTCTATTTGGGTGCTCTCTCTTTTCTTTTTGAGAAGCCTGACTAGAGGTTTGTTCTCCTACTCTTTTTAAAAATATTTTTAAAAATGTTTTATTTATTTCTGAGAGAGAGACAGCATGAGCAGCGGGAGGGTCAGAGAGAGAAGGAGATACAGAATCTGAAGCAGGCTCCAGCCTCTGAACTGTCAGCACAGAGCCCGACATGGGGCTCAAACCCACGAACTGTGAGATCATGACCTGAGCCAAAGTCGGATGCTTACCGACTGAGCCACCCAGGAGGCCCTCTACTCTCCCACTGTTAACTGTAAACCCTGTCGTCTTAAATGATGTAAGATCTGCCCTTATCAAGTGCACCCCAATTTTTTTAATAGTTTATTGTCAAGTTGGTTTCCATAACACCCAGTGCTCATCCCCAGCAAGTGCCCTCCATGCTCATCATCCCCCTTCCCCTCCCCCCACCCTATCAGCCCTCCTTTTGTTCTCAACATTCAAGAGTCTCTCATGGTTTGCCTCACTCCCTATCCCCCACAATTTAACCCCTTCTTCTCCCACATAGTCCTCAGTTAAGTTCCTCCTAATCCTCCTATAAATGAAAACATATGATATATGTCCTTCTCTGCCTGACTTATTTCGCTCAGCATAACACCCTCAAGGTCCATCCATGTTGCTACACATGGCCAGATTTTGTTCTTTCTCATTGCCGTGTAGTATTCCATTGTATAGATAAACCACATCTTCTTGATCTGTTCATCAGTTGATGGACACTCAGACTCTTCCCATGTCTTGGCTATTGTTGAGAGTACTGCTATGAACATTGCTATGTGCCCCTATGCATCAGCACTCCTGTATCCCTTGAGTAAATTCCTAGCAGAAGTCCACCCCAATGTTAATCAAACTAGCTGAAGATGGCCCCTGGTCAATCACAAAAGATGGTTTTTAATAGAGTCCAACAATCCTGTTGAAGCCAAGACCTAAAGAAAATCTAAGTAGTGGGGCGCCTGGGTGGCTCGGTCAGTTGAGTGCCTGACTCTTGATTGGGGCTTAGGTCAAGATTGCAGTGTTGTGGGATAGAGCCCTGTGTTGGGCCCTGTGCTGAGTGTGGAGCCTGCTTGAGATTCTCTCTTCTTCTCTCTCTCTCTCTGTCTCTATCTCCCTCTGCCCCTCTATCCCACTTTCTTTCTCTCTCTCTCAAAAAAATAATAAATAAATAAAATCCAGGTATTTACTGATGTGTGATGTGCAGTCCTGGAACAAACCATCAGGAAAGAATTCCTGAGACTTTTTGGTGCAAAAGATGTTTTTATGAAGGCATTGGTCAGGATCCAATGGCAGAGAGAGCTGCCTTGGGATTGTGAGGAGTGACTGATTATATAGTTTTTAGTAAGGGGGGGAGGCACAGAGATAAAGGAAGTCTCCAAAAGGAGTTACATTATTTATTTAATTAATTGTTTTTTTAATTAAAATTTTTTAAATGTTTATTTTATTTCTGAGAAACAGAGAGAATGGGGGAGGGACAGAGTGAGAATGAGACAGAAGATCTGAAGCAGGCTCTGAGCTCTCAGCACAGAGCCCCATGCGGAGTTCAAAACCACAAGCTGTGAGATCATGACCTGAACCGAAGCTGGACTCTTAACTGGCTGAGCCACCCAGGTGCCCCCATAATTTAAAAAGACTAATAGGATCTTGGAGGTCTGGCTAATGTTGACCTAAGGTTGCTTTTTGCTTCTAGCAAAGCATTAACATGAAGGCAGTTGTGAGTTCCTTGAGGAATGTCATACTCTCTGCCAGTCTCAAATATTTGTCAATAGGCTGCAGATTGCAAGGACAGTTAATGTGATCGACATTTCTTTTGTCTTTGTTCCCCTCACCAGTTAGGATTAGCTTCTGTTCACCTGCCTGCTGCAAACTCCTCCAAGAGCAAGAGGAGCAAGGTCAAGGCCAACAGGTCTTTGATTATCAACCTGCGGCCCCTTTCGCCCACCCCGTTCAAGTCTCAGGGTCGATGATTTCTGGCGCAACCCTGGGAAAGACCCCGGGGTCTTCCTCCCCGCCCAGCTCCCTCCCCCCTTCTCACTCCTCTCCTGGAGTGGCGGCGGCTCGGCGGTCCCCGGGGAGGGGTCTGTGGCCGTCCTGCCCCGCCCGGACCAGGCTGCCTCCTCTGTCCCCGGGGACAGGACCACCCGGGGAAGTGCTGCACGACTTCCTCTCTCTTTGCGGTCATCGGTGGTGACGCCAGCCTCGAAACTTTTCTGAAAGTCGCTTCTTCGAGGGTTTTCGCTTTCTGTTGTTTTCTCCGGAGGGGCCCCCAGAGCGTCCCTGGGCGGGGCTGGATGACGCGACTGTCGCTCACAGTCCTGGCGGTGACCCGGGAGGGCGCCCGGCCCCGGCCACTTAGGGGGTGTGTCCTGCGCCGCACGCTGCTGGGCTGCGAACGAGGAGGGCGCCGGGCTCCTGCGTCCTGCCCGGCTCCAGGCTCCAGGGGCCCCGGCCCCCCTGGCCTCCAGAGGGGACCCCCCCACCCCGCCCTGCCACTCTTCCAGCTGCTGTGTCCCCCGACCCGAACGCACCCCCCCTTCTCTCCTGAGCTCCCCGCCCCCCAATCACGCATTCTCCCCCACACTCGCTCCACCCGATTTCCACGCTCTTCTTCATACACTCCAGTAACCCCTTCCATTGGTGTTTTGGGAGCCCCCCACCCCCCTTTGTGCCTTCAAGGTGTTTATCCGTCTGCACTTTGCAGGATGGAGAGGCGTCTGGGGAATAGCGATGTGCACTTGGTCAGCGTCTTCTGGCTGACTCTTCGGGGACAGAATGTACAAACCAGCTCACAGGTTGGGCCAAAGTTCCGCCGAAACCGCGGGGGTACCACTCAGCAGCTGCCACAGGTCATTCATTCTCGGATGGGGCTCCTTGTTAAGCCCAGCTTAAAAAAAATAGTAAAACAAAATAAAAGTACGCGCGGCAGCTAAGCATGCAGTCTATTTTTCTGACCGTCCTTCCCAAGTCTGGTGTTACCGTGGTAACCCTGGCGTCCCACGCTGGTGTGATCAAGGCTGGGACAAGTCAAAGCAAGTGCACCCGCCACCCACGCTTCTCCAGTCCGACTGTTCCTGCTCCCCACAACCGTAGCCGCACAGCACACTTGAATCAACACAGTCACAGACGCTCAGGTCTACCCCAGCCCACACCCCTCCACCCACATTGACCAGCATCCCCCAGTCTGCAACCATGCAGGGAGTTTCCAATTTCTCCACATCCTCCCTAACACATTCCGGGGTCTGTCTTGTTGATGACAGGCATCTCGTGAGTGTGAGGTACAACCTTTTTGTGGTTTTGATTTGCATCTCCTTGACCGCTAAGAACATTGAGAAACTTCCGTGTGCTTATTGTCTATCTGCAGACCTCTTTGGAGAAATGTTTGCTCAAATCTTTGCCTCATTTTTAAATTGAGTACATTACTTCTGTATTATTGTGACTTTTTGGATTCTGGATACCTTTCCCTTACAGGATATATGATTTACAAATATTTGCTCCCATTCTGTAGGCTGTGTTTGCATGTTCTTGGTGGTCTCTTTTGAAGCATGAAAGTGTTACATTTTGAGGGGTGCCTGGGAGGCTCAGTCAGGTAAGCGTCTGACTTCAACTCAGGTCATGATCTCACAGTTTGTGAGTTGGAGTCACACATCGGGCTCTGTGCTGACAGCTCAGAGCCTGGAGCCTGCTTTGGATTCTGTGTCCCTCTCTCTCTGTTCCTCCCCTGCTTGCGCTCTGTCACTCTCTGTCCCTCAAAAGGAAGCATTAAAAAAATTTAAAAAGTGTTATCATTTTGAGAGAGTCAAAGTAATCTATTTTTTCTTTTGTCATTTGTGCTGTTGGTGATTTAAGAAAGTTTTATCAAACCCAGACACAAAGATACACTCCTGTGTTTTTTTTCTAAGACTTACATAATTTTATCTCTAATACGTATGTCCATGATTTATTTTGAATTAATTTATATGTGGTGTAGGGGAGGGGTCAATCTCATTCTTTTGCACGTGGCTATCCAGTTATCCCACCACCATTTTCCGAAATGATTATTCTTTGCCCGTGAATTGTCTTGGCACCCTCTAGAAAATCAAATGACCGTATATGGTTTGCTTATGCATCTGTAGGGGAGGAAACTTTTTCCTTAATCCTCTGAGGGTCCCTGGGTGCATCTGGAAATTAAACTGATGACACATTCACAGGAGAAAAGCATGCACATTTATTTAATATAAGTTTTATGTAACCCAGGAGAACTATATAAGGAAATGAAGACCCAAAGAAACAGTTAAACCTGAATACTTTTGTGTCAGGCTTAAGAAGGAGTGGACAGTAGTGTAGATATATGACAGGTCAAAGTGTATAAGGTAGATGTAAAAACTGGGTGAAACTTAGTAAAGGCCTTTTAGTTTGGACTCTTCTCCGGGTCCTTTTGTCTTTGGAGATAAGGGAATTCCTTGGCTCTGGGTAGAGGGAGGGAATCTCTTACATGAGGGTTTTATGACCGACTTCAGGGGAGAATTTAATTCTCTTCCTCCCCAGACCCTCATGTCAGGTGGAAATGGCAGGGCTGCTGACATTTTCTGGATCCAGTTAAGAGGACTGAATATACAAATGCAATTAAGAAGAACGAGTTAGGAATACATGCAATGCAGTTTGATGAAATGCATGCATCTCACTTGCAGTCTCTTCCTGATGGGTTTTTAAAATATTAATCCTTATTAATCTTATCTTGAATACGGACACAAGGTATTCCAGACCCGAGAAAAATAATTGTTATTTACTTAAAAGCAAATAAAGACTCTGTGGCTGCCCAAACCCATTTCTTATTCCTGGGGTGATGTATTGCAAGACTGGTCAAATGTCCTATGCATACAAAATTTGAAGTTGTGTTCTTTTTTAAAAAAATTTTTTTAAATGTTTATGTATTTATTTTTAAATTAAAAAAAAACATTTATTCATTCTTGAGAGAGAGAAAGAGAGAGTGCGAGTGGGAGAGGGGCAGAGAGAGGGAGGCACGGAATCCAAAGCAGGCTCCAGGCTCTGAGCTATCAGCACAAAGCCCGACATGGGGCTTGAACCCATGAGCAGTGAGATCATAACCAGAGCCGAAGTCAGTCTCTTAACTGACTGAGCCACTCAGGTGCCTCAATGTTTATTTATTTTGAGGGAGAGAGAGAGAGAGAGAGAGAGAGAGAGAGTGAGAGCAGGACCAGGGGAGGGACAGAGAGAGAGAGAGGGAGATACAGAATACGAAGCAGGCTCCAGGTTCTCAGCTGTCAGCATAGAAACCCACACGGGGCTCAAACTCACAAGTCATGAGATCATGACCTGAGCTGAGGTCTGATGCTTAACCAACTGAGCCACCCAGGTGCCCCTGAAGTTGTGTTCTTATGAAAATGATTTTTCTCTGTTGGTAAAAGGGAAGGAGGCAGCTGTCCCCTATCTAACCTAACAGGGGTTAGATAACAGAGTATCTTTGGAATCATATTGGCCCAGGGTCCTTATTGTCCTGATTGTCTGTAAATGTAAACACAAACTCTTCAGGCCCAGGTACTTCCTCTAACCCTCCAGCCATGCTTTTCCAAAGTAGAGACCTCCAAGAACTGGGCTCCATACCCTTTGAAATGGAAATACCTAGAGAGGAACCTTCCAGTCTTCTTGATAACTTTGGGGCTTAGCCTAAAGTCAAAGTTCAGGCTGTAATCCTTTGGCCTCTGATAACAAAGCAATTTATTAGGTGAAAGTCTTCGTTTCTAATTCTCATAGTATTTGATGAGTAAAATGCTTCCAGGGACATGAAAAGGAGCATTTCCTATCTTTATATTGAGGATATTTCTGTGTCTCAGGAGGCTAGGGCTTTTTATAAAACGCTGACACATCTGGGTCAGTTTGATTTCCTCCAGGTTCATATATAATTAAGTAGTTGCTGGTCTTTCCAGTGGGACCAGCCAGCTGTGGTGAACTCGGGGTGTCACACACAAAAGGAAAGAGCCACAGCACACATTGCAGTCTTTACATGTCCTGTGGTAGCAGTTTAGACATGTGGATCATGAAAGGGAAACAAGGTCTGAAAAGTATGGAGCTGAGCTTGGTCCAAGGGGAAATTATTTTATTTTATTAAAAACTTTTTTTAATGCTTATTTGTTTTTGAGACAGAGAGAGATGGAGCATGAGCAGGGGAGGGGCAGAGAGAGAGAGGGAGATGCAGAATCAGAGGCAGGCTCCAGGCTATGAGCTAGCTGTCAGCACAGAGCCTGATGTGGGCCTCGAACTCACAAACTGTGAGATCATGACCTGAGCTGAAGTTGGATGTTTAACCAATTGAGCCACCCAGGGGCCCTGAAGGGGAAATTATTTTAATCATAAAACAATTCTCTGTCCACCTCTCCTCATCGCCTAAAGGGATGTGTATTAGTCTTCCGTTGCTTAGGACAGGTTGCCACCAACTCCTCTGACTCAATGACATAGTCATTAGCTCACAGATCTGTAGGTCAAAGAACCACAGGCAGGATGTGGTTGGGTTTTCTGCCCACCATCTCACAGCGCTGTAATTAAGGTATTGGTCAGGTACCAAGTGATTCTTAGAAAGAAAACAGTTGAATTGGAGAAGCTTGTGAGTTTGACGCTCCAAGAAGCCAAATGTGTGTCTTTCATCACAAATCCATGTGAACGTATTCAGTGGGCACCTGGGGTTAGAGCAGCTCCCAGTCCAGGTGAGCCCCCAGCAGAAACTTCTATTGTAGAAAAACTACAGGTCAGTGGGAACAGGCAACCTACTCGCAGGGGTCTATGTGTTCTTGTCCAGGCCAATAAGGTTGCAATTACAAAAGTGGAAGACAAGTTACTACAGGGGCCTGAAGGGTATTTTGGCGGAAGCATCCAGTGGCATCCAAAGAGGTTAGTTTTCTCACAGATGTTCCCCTATAAGAGCTTAGAGTAGCCAGATCTGGCTGCTGATTTGATGTGCGCCTGGCAAGTCTTTGCCCTTTGATTTCTTCATCTGTGTAGTGGGATCAGAAGAAGGATGGACTCTTCTTGCTGGGCAAAGTCAACACCGTGCCCAAACTTGGTCACAGACTCACACCTCCCTTCTGTTCTTCTCAGGGCCCATTCATCTTTCCTAAAGATCATCTATCCACTCTCCCCTACAAGGCCTACATCTACAGCCTCCTTTCTCTATTTTTTTAAATTAATTTTTTAATGTTTATTTATTTTTGAGAGACAGAGAGAGATAGTGTGAATGGGGAAGGGGTAGAGAGAGAGAGAGGTAAAGAAGGAGACACAGAATACAAAGCAGGCTCCAGGTTCTGAGCTGTCAGCACAGAGCCTGATGCAGGGCCCAAACTCACGAATCGTGGGATCACGACCTGAACCAATGTTGGAGGCTTAATCGATTGAGCC